ACACTTGCATCAATGGCCAGCTAATTCCATGTGTGTTATGAATAGTTAGAAATTTGTTATATAATTACTAAAACAAGTTATTCTGCAGATAGAATACACAAAGAATGACAATGCGTATAAAGCTATAAAAATGTACATCGAATCTTTTGTAAAATCACGTTTGTTGAGTGACTGTGAAGTTACCAAAATAAACAGAAGGCTCAAGAGGTCGCCGATAGAGGCCAGTATTGGACGCGTAGGTTTCGTAAAACAAGAGTAATGTTTGCGTTGTAAGCAGGAGATTTCTTTGGTCAGTGACTGTATTGGTAAGTTGTTATATTCAGGTAGTCGTTGTAGGGGAAGATCCTAGCCCTGCGTACATGGCTGTGTAGGGGTGATATTTACATTAGGCTTCTTACGCCACCCCAACACAGCCATGTGAACGGTCACTATGATTTTCTAAAACCCCACATCCCCAGCTGACGTGGCATGGAAAATTACATTTTTTTTCAGAAACTTAACCATCCTCCATCAGTAAATACAAAACCGATCGTTTCAATAACATTTAATGAACACTAGGTTTGTACCTTACGCATGTCTTGACAATTATAAAGTGGAAAAATTCACGTTTTGTCGTCAAACTCGCATTTGTCAACAAACTGTGGCAGCCATCTTGAATCACGCGTGATTTAATTGATTAACGGTGATCGCGTGATACAACTTTTTCTTGACGTCACAGCCGCGAAAAAGAAATCTGCATGTACTTTCACATCGTCCGCCTGCACGGTGTTGTTTCGTTCGGATATTCCTCCCTCTACAACACCGTGCGGTAATTCTATTCATAACCCTGTATGTCACGTGGTTGCGCGATAGAAAGTTTACCGACCAATAGAAAGCTTTGTTACAATGACTGCCAGAAACGGCTGGAGCTTTTGATTGATTTTCCTCATAGAAAACACGTTTTCGTCATTCAGCTCTGACGTCATAGTAAAAAGTTTTATCACGTGACCAAAATGGCGTCTCTGTTTATATACTTAAGTACCGTGTATACGCATTTTGGGCGATAAATAGTCTGTTTTAACATCCAAAACTCCCCTACAGTACATCAATTCAACAACCGAGTGTTCATTACAGTATGTTAAGGTGATCGACGCTGCTTTTGGTGCAAAGAGGTACGAATTCGTCCCGAAATGAGACATTTTGTATGACATGTGTAGTGTTTTTGAAAATGCCTATGGTCGTTCACAGGGCTGTGTATTGGGGCGCAGATAAGGTCCCGATGAATAGGAGCGCCTCCACATTCACAGACCTGTACACAGAGCTAGGGAAGATCCATGCACACTGTAATCTGTCACCTGTTTCTGCAAAAATAATACGGTGTTGTTTGTAGCTGCGATTCGCCGATTGTCGTTCTTTTGTTTTATTTTTTGGGATCATTTTTGGCACAGTCACTCCTAGTAGAGTGACTGTGTTTTTGGTAATGAAAAATATGATGCAAACAAATGTGGTAAACTCATAAAGAAATGTCTGAACTTTATTGGAATATTGCAGCCATCCGAACTCGATCGACTTGGCTGTTATAGCAATGGACATTCAATGTTCTGTCCTCATGTGTGCATGCGTTTACTAGTGATGGTAAATCGTTACCTACGTTTCCTTATTTTTGACAACGCTTGAGTCATGAACGGATCACATATTGTGTTATCAACGCTGATTTCCCTATGAGAGTAGTTTGGCTGCTTTCCGTGATGCAATACCCTGTTTTGACTTTGAGTAATAATTACTGATGTATAGAGACAAGGGTGAACCAAAGACAATAATGTCTTTGGCTGAACATATCAAATATACATTGTACAGCGCAGTCATGCAGGTAAAGCGG